AGAGGTTGCATAGGCAGTCCAACTCCTCCATGATGTCTCCCAGCACCGTCTCAAGAGCATGGAGGAGATTCCAGGAGACAGGCAGTTACTCTAGGAGAGCTGGACAGGGTTGCAAAAGGTCCTTAACCCATCAGCAGGACCAGTATCTGCTCCTTTGTGCAAGGTGGAACAGAATGAGCACTGTCAGAGCCCTACAAAATGACCTCCAGCAGGCCACTGGTGTGAATGTCTCTGACCAAACAATCAGAAACAGACTTCATGAGGGTGGCCTGAGGGTCTGACGTCCTCTAGTGGGTCCTGTGCTCACTGCCCAGCACTATGGAGCTCGATTGGCATTTGCCATTGTACACCAGAATTGGCAGGTCCGCCACTGGCACCCTGTGCTTTTCACAGATGAGAGCAGGTTCACCCTGAGCACATGTGACAGACATGAAAGGGTCTGGAGCAGCCGTGGAAAACGTTATGCTGCCTGTAACATTGTTCAGTATGACTGTTTTTGGTGGTGGGTCAGTGATGGTCTGGGGAGCCATATCCATGGAGGGACACACAGACTGCTACAGGCTAGACCAGCAATGGGCAAACTACGGCCCGACGGACCTTTTAATCCGGCCCGCGGAGCTAGGCTCCCGCAAGGCCAGTGGTCGGCAAGCCGCGGCTCTTTACAAATTTAGATGCGGCTCTCCTGTGTGCCGGGCGCCCGCTCCCCTCCCTCCTCTCCTCCTCTCCCCTCCCTCCTCTCCTCCTCTCCCCTCCCCTCCTCTCCTCTCCTCTCGGATGGCCGCCCCCCCCTCTCGGATGGCCGCCCCCCTCCCTCCTCTCGGACGTCAGGACTCTGCAGCTGTCAGGATGTAGGCGGGGCAGCGTGACGAACTCCTCTCACAGTCCTCCCTGAAGACCAGAACGGCGCGGGAATACGAGAGGAACGCGCGGACCAAAGGTAAGTGAATTGACACAGGGGGGGGACTTACTATATGGGGGATGAATTACTATATGGGGGACTTACTATATGGGGAATGAATTACTATATGGAGGACTTACTATATGGGAAATGAATTACTATATGGGGGACTTACTATATGGGGAATGAATTACTATATGGAGGACTTACTATATGGGGAATGAATTACTATATGGGGGACTTACTATATGGGGGAATGAATTACTATATGGAGGACTTACTATATGGGGAATGAATTACTATATGGGGGACTTACTATATGGGGAATGAATTACTATATGGAGGACTTACTATATGGGGAATGAATTACTATATGGGGGACTACTATATGGGGGATGAATTACTATGTGGGGGATGAATTACTATATGGGGGATGAATTACTATGGGGGATGAATTACTATAGGGGGGATGAATTACTATGGGGGACGAATTTACTATATGGGGGATGAATTACTATGGGGGATGAATTACTATATGGGGGATGAATTACTATATGGGGGATTAATTACTATATGGGGGATTAATTACTATGGGGGATTAATTACTATGCTTACTATGGGGGAATATTACTATACTTACTATGGATGACACATACACATCATTCATCTACTCTTGGTCCGGCCCCCGGGTCCAATATATGAACCCATTGCGGCCCTCAAGTCAAAAAGTTTGCCCACCCTGGGCTAGACAATGGCACCCTGACAGACCGGTATTTGGATGAAATCCTTGGACCTATTGTCAGACCCTACGCTGGTGCAGTGGGTCCTGGGTTCCTCCTGGTGCATGACAATGCCTGGCCTCATGTGGTGAGAGTATGCAGGCAGTTCCTGGAAGATGAAGGAATTGATACCACTGAATGACCTCCACGCTCGCCTGGCCTAAATCCAATAGGACACCTCTGGGATATCATGTTTTGGTCCATCTGACACTGCCAGGTTGCCCCTCAGACTGTCCAGGAGCTCAGTGATGCCCTGGTCCAGATCTGGGAGGAAATACCCCAGGACACCATCCGTAGTCTCATTAGGAGCATGCCCCGATGTTGTCAGGCATGCATACAAGCACTTGGGGGCCATACAAACTACTGAGTACCATTTTGAGTTGCTGCAAAGAAATTTGCCTGCTGCATCATTTTTTCACTGTGATTTTTGGGGTGTCTTTGAATTCAGACCTAATGGAAACGGCAATAACACTGTTCAACAGGTAAAAAGTTTTGGGCATAAAATTAGCTAATCTTACATAATTTTGGGGTGCTGAAAACGAAAATGACCCTAAAAAATGTTGATTGGCTCTAGTTTCCATGATATATTCACCCATCTAATGACGTAAGCCATTCAAAATTATGATGCAACTTCAGCTGCATATTGCGCAATTGATACTGGTGACCAATAGAAAATTGCATGTATACTGAGATGATGCAATATTAGCCTTTAATTGCATCACTTCACTGCATAAAAGCTGCAGTATCTGTAGCTGATTGTAGTTGGACAGCGTCTTTACATTTCGTTTTATGCTTATATAGGCTACTCAGTAATGCCTCGAACTTGTGTGAATAAAGCAGATAATTTCTGCTATATTTGCGGTGAAATAACTTTTATCTCACAAAAAAGGAGGATAACAGGAATGATTAAGAAAGCCTTCAACTTGTATTTTGGCTGCAAGATAGGAGACCAGGACAAGAGCTGGGCACCACATATATGCTGCAATTCTTGTGGGACGGCACTGGAGCAATGGTTGAATGGAAAAAAAAGGCATCTATGCCTTTCGCTGTACCAATGATTTGGAGAGAGCCAACAGATCATGTTAGTAATTGTTACTTTTGTATGGTGCCTCCAATTGTAAAAGGGCTAAATAAGAAGAAAAAGTTATATCTGTGCACTATCCACATATTCCATCGGCAATACGTCCAGTTCCTCATGGAGAGGGGCTACCAATTCCTAAAGCACCAGAATCCTTCGTGGTTGAGTCAAGTGAGGAAGAACCTGAAGCGTGTAGTCACGTGCAGTTGTAAGAGATAGCCCTTTCCTCGAATACAAGAGAAAAGCCAAGAGAAGCAAAACCGACACAAACTGAAGACAAAACTAGTGAGAATCCTAAGTATTAAAATGATTCAACTTAGCTTATGGCTATAATTTTTCTTGGTAATCTTATGCAATAAATTATGCCATTTAGGCTTTGTTATGTAGTCAATATCACTTGCTTTATATTTGTGGAAAGACATCTATCTATATAATTATTGTGCATTATGTAGTCATTACGCCTATAGTAGAAAACTTTCCGTTTACAGAAAAACTAGAGCCAATTGACAAATTTCATTGTTAAATTTGAACTCAGAATGTTAAATTCATTAAGAAATGGATACTTTTGTTTCCAAAACTGGCAAAAAATAAAAATTTGTTGAACAGTGTTATCAACCTACAAACGATGGGGCATCCTTAGGTTCCTAACACATTGCCCAGCTAGGGTTGCCACCTCACCCCTTTAAAACTGACACATATTAATTACTCAGGGTCTAAGGCTAATTTAATGCAGACAAGGCTCTGAGTTTAATCACCGCCTTAATCAGCCACAGAACCTGCATAATTAACGTGTTTGGTGTAAAGGGATGAGCAGGCAACCCTATACCCAGTCCATATCAGTATAGATATCCAACATATTGTTCCCTATTTCTGATGTGTTTTCCACTTTAAGTGCGTCCTGTCCTGAAATACTGCTACAGGGCGTCACGGGGGTGCGCATAATCACGTATATATACCTGATTTTGCAGTTCCAGGTAGGGGGTGTGCGCACCATTCGCGGCCTCGGCTATCAATCATCGGGTCCTGGCTGGTGCTTACTTGCTGGCACCTGGTGATTGCTGAGTATCGCCAACAGGGAGTGGGGGGGGGGGGGGGGGGGAGAGAACTGTTTGTAAACAGCACAGATCTCTCCCGTCAGCGCCTACACCCTGCTGTGCGTAGCAGAGCTATACAAAGCAGTGTGCTTACTGTGTAAAGCACACAGTTAACCCTTTGATCACCCCTCAGGGTAACCCCTTCTTGCCCAGTGTCATTTAGTACAGTGTACTGACACTGTCATCCCCATTATCACCCCCCAGTGACACCAATACAATGATCAATGCTAATAAAAAGCACTGATCATTGTATTGGTGTCACTGGGGGTGGCAGTGGCAGTTAATCAGTTCCTCCCAGTGTCAGAATGCCCACCGCAGTCCCGCTATACGTCGCTGATCGCTGCCATTACTAGCAAAAATAAAAATTCCAGTATTTATACCGTCATTTGCCTTTTTTTTTTTTAGCAGAGACGTAGCAGAATTTATTTTGCTCTAAATTGATGACGAAATTTGATTTTTTTTGCTTGGATATGTATTATAGCAAAAAGTAAAAAAAAAAATTCTCAAAATTGTCGCTTTTTTTTTTATACTGCAATAAAAAATGCACAGGTGATCAAATACCACTAAACGAAAGCTCAATTCATGGGGGAAAGAGGATGTAAATTTCATTTGGTTGCAGCGTTGCATGACTGCGCAATTGTCAAAGTAACGCTGCGCCTTATTGTGGAAAATGGCCTGGTCAGGAAGGGGGGGAAATCCTGTGGAGGGCAAGTGGTTAAGGGGCCGCTCTTCATGCAATGCATGCCAGCTCCAGCACACACAGGACTGAATGGGGCCTAATGGTGGGGTACTCACAGGACTGAATGGGGCCTAATGGTGGGGTGCACTCAGGACTGAATGGGGCCTAATGGTGGGCCAAGTCTACCCCCGGACCCAGAGCAGGCAGAGCTCCCGGTCTGTACACTTGTGGGTGTCAGTATGGAGAGGGAGGCTTCCTCCTCCCAGCCACATCACCACCTCTGTACTGTGAAGGGGATCAGGACATCACTCCTCTATGGGTGTCATAGAGCGCTAGGAAGAGTCACCGCCCCGCCCCCTTACAAGTCACATCACACCTGACACAGGGAGGAGGCGGGCTCGGGCGACACGTGTCATGAAGAAGCTCCTGGAGCCGGAGCGTGATTGGTTGACGGAGGCGGGTCCTTTCTGGTATGAGTGGCTTGTTGTATCCGCCCTCAGTCACTGCTCTGCTCTCCGCCGACATGGCCGCTGTCGTCCGCCTGCTGGAATGGATCTTCTTCTTCTACTTCTTCTCCCACATCCCCATCACTCTGCTCATAGACCTGCAGGCCGTCCTCCCGTCCAGCTGGTACCCGCAGCAGGTCAGTGTTCCGCCCCCTCCCCCAGACACATGACATCAGGGCTCCCCTATGATCTGCACTCCATATGCTGGGAATAGAACAGGTGATTGTGTGTGATCGCTAATGGAGGGCATACACGCTTCAATCAATCATCGATTTCCTCCACTATCGATCTCTCCATCCACACTGCACATCCGGATCCTTCCATATGTCAGAGTGGGGGGGATTTACATCCAGAGCCAACATGTACACCACAATCCGCCTTCATGCTTTCTGTTTGTGTGAGGTTTGGCCCCATTCACGCCTCACCTAGCAGGAATGCACGTTCCCACTCTCAATTTTTGTGGGTGGCGATTTACACATTTCCGCCGTCGCACACAGTACAGACACATCAATTGTCCTGTACATGTGGGTGAGCATCGCACATTGCTTTCCCACGTGTGTTTTTCCATGGCGACAGTTTTGACAATCGCACCACACTTAGAGTACCATTAAGAATGAATGTCCCCTAAACGCACATTGCCGCCATGTTAGTGTGATGTGGAATGGTGGGCAGGATCACGACGATTCTTCCCGCAATTCCAAAACTCTAGGATGTGGCCCCCGGTGTGTCTACATGCGTTTGCAGTCTAGTGTTTGGAATCGCTTTTTCATTTCAGCTTGTTCTCTTTACCAAGTTGTGTTTGCTGACATGTATGTGCGTTTTGTGTGCGTTCCAATGCAGGAAAATGCAGCACGCCGTGCTGGTTTGTGTTTTACACACATGAAAGCGCTGCAAGGAGCCCCCCTGACCCTCTTGTATTGCACACGTTAATAATGTGTACACTAGACTCATCGCACTACATCCTTCTTGTCATGCGTTTGTACTGCAGTTAGTGACACATGCCTGATGAAGGGGTCCTGCGAGACTCCGAAACGTTGCCTTGCTGGAACTATGTGATTGTTCATGAAATCTCCTGCTACCATATTGGTGATCCTCGGTGTGCTGTGACATTCTGCCTTGCGGATTCTGTCCGATTCCAGCCGACGGTCGCTGCAGCACCCACTTACACACACAGCCATTAGTAACACAGGAACGTGTGCGCTTGGATTGTACACTTGTATCCTGTACCGCAGTTCAGGCTCATGTACACCAGGTGCAGTCATGTGTTCTAAACGCAGCAAAAAACGCATAGACAAGAAAAGGAATGCATTCCCATGAGTCACGTTTACACCACTGCAGGGCTTTTATGTACTTTAATTATAAAAAAAAAAACCACAGTATGTTGCATTTGTCTGCACTGGAACACGCCACAAACACGCATGAACATATACATGCAACTTTGTCCAGAAAATAGATCGCAATAAAGGAACAGATTATTCTGGAAGATGCACACAAATGCAATATATAGAAATACAGAGTGAGCACAGAGATTGGGGTGTATCCCAATCCATATACTGTGCCTGAGAACACACCGGAGCGCATCTGGTGGAAGGGAGCCCAAAGTCATCGATCGCAGCTGTGCATCCTCCATGTCATCGATCGCAGCTGTGCATCCTCCATGTCATCGATCGCAGCTGTGCATCCTCCATGTCATCGATCGCAGCTGTGCGTCCACCATGTCATCGATCGCAGCTGTGCGTCCACCATGTCATCGATCGCAGCTGTGCATCCTCCATGTCATCGATCGCAGCTGTGCATCCTCCATGTCATCGATCGCAGCTGTGCATCCACCATGTCATCGATCGCAGCTGTGCGTCCTCCATGTCATCGATCGCAGCTGTGCACCCACCATGTCATCGATCGCAGCCGTGCAGTCATCGATCGCAGCCGTGCTCCACCATGTCATCGATCGCAGCCGTGCGTCCCACCATGTCATCGATCGCAGCCGTGCGTCCTCCATGTCATCGATCGCAGCGTGCGTCCTCCATGTCATCGATCGCAGCCGTGCGTCCTCCATGTCATCGATCGCAGCTGTGCACCTCCATGTCATCGATCGCAGCCTGCATCCTCCATGTCATCGATCGCAGCTGTGCACCCTCCATGTCATCGATCGCAGCCGTGCACCCTCCATGTCATCGATCGCAGCCGTGCACCCACCATGTCATCGATCGCAGCCGTGCATCCACCATGTCATCGATCGCAGCTGTGCATCCTCCATGTCATCGATCGCAGCTGTGCATCCTCCATGTCATCGATCGCAGCTGTGCACCCTCCATGTCATCGATCGCAGCTGTGCATCCTCCATGTCATCGATCGCAGCTGTGCATCCTCCATGTCATCGATCGCAGCTGTGCATCCTCCATGTCATCGATCGCAGCTGTGCATCCTCCATGTCATCGATCGCAGCTGTGCACCCACCATGTCATCGATCGCAGATGTGCACCATGTCATCGATCGCAGCTGTGCACCCACCATGTCATCGATCGCAGCTGTGCACCCTCCATGTCATCGATCGCAGCTGTGCACCCACCATGTCATCGATCGCAGCTGTGCACCACCATGTCATCGATGCAGCTGACATCCACCATGTGATCTCATGATCTGATCAATGGAAATTCAATTGTATTTGATCGGATATCAGATTAGCGGCTGTGTTCGGGCAGCAGCTGTGTCCCAATAGACATGGATGGGATGCATGGAACATGGAGGAGGATGCATGGAACACAGAGGGGGGGGGGGTGCATGGAACACAGCCCTCACAGAGGGGCTTACCTGTATGAACGAGGACTTAGGCTGGCCATTCATTATACACTTTTCTTGAGATTTTTGCTTTAGATTTACCCAAACACATAATATGAGGTCAGACCTAAACAACACTTTCAATTATATCCAGTTAGGCAGGCCCTTGCACTACATAGTCGAAGGTAAATCTAAAGGAAATTGGACAGAAAATTGTATAGTGTATGGCTAGCCTTAGATACAAGTCAGATTTTTGGCATCTACTGCAACAAAAATGTAATTTTAGGTGAAATAATCCCAAAGGGAAATCACGTCTAAAGGGATGCAGACCCTGCCACGTTCCTCATTGGAGCCCTGCAGGTGATAATTGTGAAACCACTCCCATACAGATTCACTCTGCACATGGACACAGACAGCTATTTCCTCAGAATAATAAAAGGTAGAAATCTGCAACAAAGTTTGTTAAACTCCTTGCAATGTACACAGATCACCCAAAGGAGAATGTTTTTTTTTTTCCCAACAAAGTGAAGTTATTCTTTAAAAGTTGTTGAAAAATAACAGACTTACTGGCTGGATCACCAGGTGAAAATAAAGCAAAAAACAAGTCTTAAAGAAAACTAATGCAGCCGTCATATCTAAGAAGTGGATCTCCTGCAGAGAAGGAATGGCTGTACAGAATGAATACATTGTTGCAGAGGTGATCTGTTCCTGATCTGTGAAGGGTTTCAGTCCTGGACACCAACATCACGGTCCTATCTCTGCAGTATTGTATACGTTTTGTATAGCAGTTCAGGGTCATTGGAGACTGTTGTTGGTGAGCACAGGATCTCCATACACTTTGTACACGTGCAGAGGTCTCCTTCCAATGACGTGGCTCCCGTGCACAAAGCATGTTATCACACACAGTGATCAGTATTACCAACTGCAGATTTCTAGACCCAAACTCAATGGGCATCTATGATAGGTGACCAGAGTCCTAGGGCCCATCCACAACAGGGGCATTGGATGGTGGGGGTGTGCATCGCAGTGCGCTGTGGTGGAGAAATGTGAATGGATAGTAATTTTGGAACATTCCAATAAAGGTGGAAAAAAAAAATGAAATGAGGTGTAGTCCACAGTGCAGGCCAGTAGCTGGGCTACCACATGGCTGCTGGTGTGAACAGACCCCAAGAGCCCAATCCTGGGTTTCGTGAACTTTGCTTTAAGCGGAAGGTAAAGTCCACGTTGTAAGTCGGACCTACAGCCCTGGACAAACGTTTTGAGAATGTCACAAATATTAGTTTTCACAAAGTCTGCTGCTTCAGTGTTTTTAGATCTTTTTGCCAGATGTTCTATGACAGGGGTGGGCAACTGTGGCCCTCCTGCTGTTGGTGAACTACAAGTCCCATCATGCCTCTGGGAGTCATGCTTGTAACTGTCAGTTTTGCAATGCCTCATGGGACTTGTAGTTCTACAACAGCTGGAGGGCCACAGTTGCCCACCCCTGTTCTATGATATACTGAAGTATAATGACAAGCATTTCAGAAGTGTCAAAGGCATTTATTGACAATGACATGAAGGTAATGCAGTCAATATTTGCAGTGTTGACCCTTCTTTTTCAAGACCTCTGCAATTCGCCCTGGCATGCTGTCAGTCATCGTCTGGGTCACATCCTCACTGATGGCAGCACATTCTTGTATAATCAATGCTTGGAGTTTGTCAGAATTTGGGGGGGGGCTTTCTTCACCCACCTCTTCTCTTGAGGATTGATCATTGGGATTAAGGTGTGGGGAGTTTCCTGGCCATGCACCCAAAATGTCGATGTTTTGTTCCCCAAGCCACTTAGTTATGACGTTTGTCTTATGGCAAGGTGCTCCATCGTGCTGGAAAAGGCATTGTTCAGTACAAACTGTTCTTGGATGGTTGGCAGAAGTTGCTCTCGGAGGATGTTTTTGTACCGTTCTTTATTCATGGCTGTTAAGGACTGATGGTAGCGCTCACTTTTTCTCCGGACAAGGTTTTTCTGGATGCCCCAAACAATAGGAAAGGGGATTCATCAGAGAAAATGACTTTCCCCCAGTCCTCAGCAGTCCAATCCCTGTACCTTTTGCAGAATATCAGCCTGTTCCTGATGTCTTTCCTGGAGAGAAGTGGCTTCTTTGCTGCCCTTCTTGTCACCAGGCCATCTTCTCACTGTGTGCAGATACACTCACACCAGCCTGCTGCCATTACTGAACAAGCTCTGCCCTGGTAGTGCCCCGATCCCGCAACTGAATCAACTTCAGGAGACGGTTCTGGCATTTGCTGGACTTTCTTGAATGCCCTGAACAACTATTGATCCTCTCTCCTTGAAGTTCTTGATGATCCGATAAATGGTTGATTTAGGTGCACTCTTCCTTGCAGGTAGCTTGTTAACGGAGGAAGAACAATGATTTCAAGCAACACCCTCCTTCTAAAGCTTCTAACTCAATCAGCCTGACAGAGTGATCTCCAGCCTTGTCCTCATCAACACTGACACCTATGTTAACGATAGAATCATTGACATAATGTCAGCTGGGCCTTTTGTGCCAGGGTTGAAATGCAGTGGAAATGTTTTTTTTGGGGGGGTTGAGCTCATTTTCATGGCAAAGAAGGACTTTGCAAGTCATCTGATCACTCTTCATAACATTCTGGAGAATATGCAAATTGCCACATAAAAACTGAGGCAGCAGACTTTGTGAAAATTAATATTTATGTCATTCTCTAAACCTTTGACCACAGCTGTACAGGTAAGCCTATAATAATAATGCAGCTCAGCTGTAGGTACAGCGAATATATATCTCCTAAACTCAGCATGCAGCTGGTGGTGTCTCCGGCACATGCACTCTGAAGAGACAGCACAGCATGCCGGACCTTCAGAGCTCCATGCCGCAGCCAAGGGCTTCCACGCATATGTACAGGAGTGATGTCATCGCGGCACTGGCCATTCATACTGCCGAAGCCCGAGAACCCAGAAAGAACATGCGAAGAGGGCGGCACCGAGGAGCCGTGACAGTGTGGCGCTGGATAGCTCCGTTTGGAGGTCTTTCATAATGTACTAGTATGCAATGCTCACTAGTACATTATGACCTTATATCTGCAGGGGGCCCATTATTTTGTTTTTTTTGCCAGTTTACTAAAGCTTTAAAGTAGAATTCCAGCCTAAACCTAACTAACTTTAAAAATGCCCCTCCCCCTCCCAACACCTATTGTTGACTAACCTGTGTGTTGTAATTTTAGGCTGCTTCACACTCCGTTGCAAAAACGCATGGGTTTTTGCTGCAGTGCTTTGTGTTTTTGATGCGTTTACATTGCTTTTTCCCCTGCACATGTGATGGGGCAAAGCTTTTCCCAGCGGTGCATTGCGTTTTTGATGCAGTGTCCATTCATTTCAATGGAGAGGTGCATTTTTTTTTTTTTTTTTTTTTTTTTTTTTTTTTACTGAACAAACAGGCACCCAAAATGCAGCAGGCAGGATTTTCTTTTAAAACACAACTGAAACTCAACAGACCATGTCCATAGGATTTAAAGGGATGCATTTTTCATGCATTTGTATTCCTCTTTTTTAACTGAACAAAAACTGCTAAGTGTGAAAGCTGCCTTTAAGCCTAGTACACATGATCAGAAAATTGTATGAAAATAACGCTTTGGAAGCGATCGTACGATAATCTGATCGTTCGTTTACAGCATTTGTCCAAAATTATTTGAAGGTACAAACACGAAATATCGCATGATTTTCGTTTAATCAGCACAGAAAAATATATTACATGACATCACTTCCAAATTTACATTCTGTTGTACAAGAATTTTCATAACTTTAGTAACCTCTTCACTTTCAATATGAGACTAGCATGCAAAAAGCCAAAACCAAACGATCATTCGTCCGATATTCTCATCGTGTGTATGGGTCTTTAGGTTTTATTAGGATTCATAATGATGCTTTGTAACAAATGGTGACATTTGCTGGCTCTTACTGCTATCCAGACTAATAAATAATGGTCCTTTGTGTTTGTCTGCAGTTGCTGGACCTGGTGAGATGGTACACCGTCACCTTCAAGGACCATCTTATGATGAACCCTCCACCTTGGTTTATGAGCTTTGTGTATTGTGAAGCCATTGTTCAGCTTCCCTTTTTCCCTGTGGCTGCCTATGCGTTTTTAAAAGGTGGGTATAATTGGCAGGTATTTTTGTTGCCACATGTATAGCAGTAAAATTATGTTTGGAAAATAATGAAGATTATGTAAAGGACATGGTTGTGAGAGTCTTCAGTGATGCCAGTCTTTATAGCGGCCAGTGATGGTATTGCTGGAAGCTCCAAGGTGGTTTTTTTGCTGTTACTGGTGGCAGTTCTACACACAGCAGGCTCATTGGATTGTGTGGAAATGCTAATGGCTTGTACTTGCGAGAATTGGACATTTCTGCTGCTTACTTGACGTGGAAATGTTACCACCGGGGCTGGACAATTCCCAGGAGCCAGTTAGCCAATACCTCAAAAAATTACATTTGACCTATTTGTTGAGGATATTGCATTTTTTAGCGGGAGCCTCTTGGACTATAGATTGGACAGACTTGACCCTGACCTCTCCATGAAACCACCCTCTTCTGCTTGATCAGCAGAGCAATTTTTGTCAGTTGGTTCATAACATTTTTTTGTAATCCTTAGTAGCAAAGTGATTTCTACCGAGAATAATTTTTTTGAAAGCTTTTACTTGTTTCTTAGTGTTAGAACTAGCCTCCTTCCTTAAACAAAGGTTTATACCTTGGGTTGTATGTATTATAGGGCCCTCTTCTTGAATGCTGTAAAATGCAGTCAAAAACCCAGAGTTGAACATCCTCTTCTGAGCAGACACTGGAACTGAAGTCCCACTGTAGAAAACTGCAGGCAGGCAGGCTTTTATTGCAGAAGAGACTTGCACGGTCTCTTCTGCAATAAAATGCTCCTACCTGCCTGCTCACCATCTCACACAGCTCAGCTTACAGTACTGGACTGGTCTCCGAGAACCGGGATGACTGTCTCCTGTACATGCGCAAGGGTGGCGTCATCCCTCATCCAAATATCATCACTCAAAAGAAGATGCCGGCATCAGTGCAGGACCATTGGACAGGTACATATTGAGATGGTAGTTCTGCTTTAAGATTGAGTTTCCAATATGTAAAGAGGAACCCTAGGAAACTAAAAGTCAGCAGTTACAGTACTTGAAGTTGCTGACTTTAAAGAAACACATACTGGCCCATGATGTCCAACACTGTCTTCCACACACCCAATTCCTCGAAGGGTGTCTAATCTTCCATGCTGCCATGTTGCATTTGGGAGTAAACTTTAAGTTCCAGCACAGTCACAGCTGGCTCTTACTGCACATGATTACCGACTGCAGGGAAACTGGTCCTGTGGCCCCCTGGTTGCCACATACCCCAGGATTCCGCAGAAGGTGGGGTTTTAGTGTACGTCATCCTCGCCTAGGTAGGGTGCTGCTGCTCCCCATTAGACTGCCAAGGCAGTGGATGGAGGTGTACACACGCTGTGACCACGGTAAGAATTAAATCTGCTGTTGTGTTTGGTGGGCACTATCGCTTGCTGAATATGATCCATCGAAGGGAATGGGGCTGTGCTGCAACTTTGTGTGGTGCAGCATTTATGGGGTTAAAATAGGCAGAGAGGAGGTGACATATTGCCTCCTCACCACCTGTCTATTGCACTCTAGCAGGCATTTCAGAGCAAAAAAAAGGTGATTAATGAATCCACCCTTGCCCCCATTCCACAAAGAGTTAACGCTGGTACACACTGGCCGAATATCGCCTGTCTGGCTTCTGTCGAGCGGGCATGCTGGAAAATCCGCATGCGACTGGCATCTGATCAGCACTGCAAGCGCTGATCAGTGTGTTCTGGTGGGGGGAAGGGGACAGTCCCCGTCAGAACATAATAGCTCAGTGGGGGAGATTATTGTACTAATATTGTTTGTCAATCTATCAAAAAAAAAAAAAACCGTATAGTGTGTACCCCGCATTAGAATAGCCAGATAGGGGTCTTTGAAGATGAGGTTGCTACCTTTCTGTTGTACTATTGTAATCCTGTGTTTGTTGATCGCAGTACTCATTTCTACGGTAACAGGAACATATTTTGTATATCTGTCTGCTTTATCATATAGGGAGTAAATAGATTAGTGATCACTCTTTGTACATTGATCTCTTTAGTTTACTCATAGATAGTAATCAGTCTTTGACCTTGGAAAGGTTGTATGAATTAGTGAAGTCTATTGAATACTTTATCTCATTTCAGGTGGATGCCGGTGGATCAGAATCCCTGCCATCGTCTATTCCTCCCATGTCGCCACCACAGTACTGGCCATCCTCGCACAGCTTCTCTTTGGTGATTTTCCAAAAACCAGTGAGCTGGATTCTCCAACACCACAGGAGCGCCTTACTCTGGTGGCCATATATGCTCCCTACCTGGTGATCCCGCTATTGATTCTGATCACCATGCTGTTCAGTCCTAGGTACTATAAAGAGGAGAAGCGGAAAAGGAAGTAATATCACCGGGTTAAAGACTTCTTTCTACATTACCATGGGCCGTGACTACATGTCAGGAACAACAAGCAACGTTTACTGCAATACAGAGTAATATAGCCACTTACTGGAAAAGAAATCTATATTAATTGTGTCTTTATAGAATTTTTCTCTATCATGGAAAGTCAGACCAATAGATATTCAGATATACTGTATGCCAATGATACACAAACCTTTTGCCTTTTTCATATTAGGATGTCTTGCATAGGAAATGTGGTAATAACCTACAGCAATACATGGATTGAAATTCAGTCAGTTCAGCAGGACGTGGCCAAACTTCAATCAATGTATGGGCAGCCTGGTTGTATAGAAGTTGATCGGATGGTTTTTGCTGATCGATCAGCGCTGGCGGCTATAGCCAGCCGCACTGATCAGTGTATTCTGACAGCAGGAAAAGCTCCCCCCGCTGTCACAACAATATTGTTCAGCAAGGAGCCCCCCATCCAAATGGAATGTGTGGATGGGAGAATCGGGCCATTTTTTTAAATTCAATCCTATAGTTGAAGGAAAAAAAAAAAAAAGAATATTGTGAGCTGCCTTAAGCTGGCCATACATTTTATACAATTTTCTTGTTAAATTTTCTTTAGATTTACCTTCATCTATGTAGTGCAAGGGCTTGCCTGATCGCATACAAATTGAAAGTGTTTAGGTTTGACCTCATATCATTAGGTTTCAAAGAAAATGTGTACAAGAAAATGGTATAATGTATGGCCAAGCCTATGTCTCCGTTGTTCCTGTTATTGGAAACATCTAAACTAAGGACAATTCATATAACCCATAGACGGATAACGGATAAAGTATGGTTGCCTGTATAACCACATTTGGCCATTCAGAATGAAGGGGAGAACTTGCATATTGAAGGGGAGTGAACATAGACTGACTTTTGTAAAGCAAAAACCACCATACTTGGATCAAAATTCACCTGGTTCCTGCTGAACTGGGTGAATTTTGATCCATCAATGACCAACATAAACAGTGAGGGAAGATCATGAAGTGCTTTTTTCCACTGTTCCTGTGCTACCCTATATAGCCAGAAATATGTGGACACCCCTCCAAATTACTGCATTAAGGTGATCCAGTGACGGTTACTCTGCATGATACAGCATACAGTAAGTACATGGACAGTTGTGTACGTTCAGCCTTGTGACTCCAGCAATATAAGTCTGATGGTCAGGTGTCCACAAAGTTGTGGCTATATAGTGTATAAACTTAATTTAGTAACCGCAAGGATTTTTAGTGGCACATAAAGGAGTTAGAGAAAAACCATTGGAAACACTACATGATTTCCAGCTGTGAAAGTGACAAGTTTTGTGTTGAAATCGGAAGTGATGTAACACTCTTGCTTCCGCTGTGTGATGAGACACCTAGCTAACAGGTGGCAAACCTCACTTCCATCATTCACTGCGTGCACTGCTAGTAAAATGGAGTCATGTCAGAGAGCTTACTGAGCTTCAAAGAGGGCAAATTTTTAGTGCTGCTTAGCTGGTGCCTCTGTGACTGACGTTGCAATTTATTTTCCATGTGGCGAGGTACAGTATCAAAGGTTATGACGGCGTATACAGTATCTGGGAAGACGACTTTTTATAAGTATAAGCATGGTCGACATGGTCATCTGACTGAAGGAGACATAAGGAGAATACACAGGGTTGTGACCAGGAATAAGAAAACAACTGCAAAAGTGACTGCAGAGCTCAATCTCAGTCTTCATGGCAGCCTGCCCAATCACAGCTGATCACTTGTAAACAGACTTCGCAGTTATCGGCAGTCCTTTCCTCACACATTGTGTCTATGTAAGAAAGGGAAAGCCAATAACCGGCAAGGCTGTCAGTACAGCACACATCAGTGAAGAAGAAAAAAAAATTACTTATTTGAAAAATTTTAGAACAAAAACTAAGACGCTTTTCAAAATTCTTTTTTTTGTTTAGCAAAAAATAAAAAACCCAGTGGTGATTTAATACCACCAAAAGTAAGCTCTATCTGTCTCCAACATATATTATACAAATTTCATATGGGTACAGTGTTGCATGATCATGCATTTGTCATTCAAAGTGCGACAGCGCTGAAAGCTGGAAATTGGCCTGGACTGGAAGGGGGTGAAAGTGCCCTGCATTGAAGTGGTAAAAATACCTTTTTAATTTTTTTTTCTTTATGAATTATAAAACTGGACTAGAAGGTAGGTAGAGCTGTGGTTTGTAACTAGGGCACTATTTGAAAAGTGAAATGGTAGAGTAAAACTCATTGCCCAAAATTTGATATATTAGCTGAAAGAATCAAGTTCAGCCTTCCACAATATGAAGCTGGTTTAGTCAAGTAGAAAGGCAAAGTCTCCTTTGCAACTGTGTCTGCATGTTGGCTCATGGGGGAAGGCATTGGGATACAATAGCCAGTGTAATTGTTGCTACTATTAAAAGACTTCACTTTTATGTCTTTTTTTTTTTGTACATCCTGAGGAAGGGCATTTCACAGAATAACCACTTTTACTGAAAAGAACCCATACATTCCTATACTGATGGTAACATAGTCTTTCATCTACCTGCAGCTAATGTCCTGTAATTTGTCCTTTGTGAACCTCTTGGAATATTAGGCTTAGTATAACTATGACTGTCTCTCTATATATAAAACAATAATAACCCATTAAAAGACAAAATAACAGAATTTATTTCAAATTGTTTCAAGATTTGTTTATATCCTTCAGTTCAGAGCCATGCATTACTGTTTTTATGCCATTGGATGTCCTCAATCTTCATGGTTCAGTGATGGCCAATGTCATGTAACCAACTTCCTCTGAGCCCAGGCTGTCATGAAACCTTCTCCTGGCAGCTTCATTTTGCTTTCTACAGTCCTCAGAAAGGATTTTTTTTTTTCTTGAGCCAGAGATTTTCCTAAAACAGTATTGTCTACTGTGGTACTCTCTCTCCTATCTCAAAAAAAAAAAAAAAACTGTATCTGCCCCTGACCTTGTTACCAACTTAAAGGTAAAAGCACAGAAAAATCAAGTATTTGAAAAGCTTATTTGCAGTGTTTTTTCTTCCATAAATGTTTTTTTTTTTATTTGCTTTCAATGTGCCTCTGAACCTGCTGGAAAATTTGACTACTCATGAAGTCAGATGTCCAGTGCAGCCCCCTCCTTGAACATCATAACCCTGTCTTCTAGGAGTGTTTAATTTCTTTCTGTGCTGGCACAGCTCCTCCACCCTCAGCCTCCCTACATAACCTTTTATGTAGCAGCTGAGGAAGGAGAATACTTAAGTGACAGCTCTGCATTGGCTGGGACTGCTGACATCTAATCCACCATGGTGGCATCCCCGCAGCAATTTCCTTGTTTTGGATCTCTGCCTGTAAATAACATGCATGAAATGCATTTAGACTCTTCTAAGTTTGAAATGAATGGTTTTGCATCAGAGTCTCGTAACAGGCAATAGGAAAGCCAAGATATATACAATACACAAATGCCAACTTTTTTAATGTCAAATGTGTTTTAACAGTAAGCTTTTAAAGAAAATAGTTTTGTTCTTCCTTTTATCTTTATTTCACTTACAGTTGTTATTGGTCTGTTCTGTTTCTTTTTGTACTGCTGTGAAATGGTCCTCAGTACAGTTCTAATGATCATTGCCTCTTTCATATGATTCACTAAATAAATCTATTTTTCCAGTACTAACAGTTGTAATCATTGATGAGTTCCAGCCAGACATATGGATTGATCACATAACCCGTGTCTTTTGTTGGAAACAAATATAGAAATGATTTAGTGGGGGGGGTTTCCCCAGAAGTATTATAAAAACACTATGTAATGCCTGTTTAAACCTTCATGTCTTTATTTTCAATAACATGTTTTACTTAATGTAATGTACTGTGTAATGGTTTTGCACAGAGCAGCCCTGGTCCTCTTCTGGGGACCCCCACCGGCAAATTCTAAGGGGGTACTCGTGTGGGCTCACGCCCAAGCCCCACTGCCTGCATCCATAGATAAAGAAAGCAGGGCTTTGCCCCACCCCTCACATCCTCATCATAGGATTTGATTGACAGCAATGGGATCCAATGGCTCCCCACTGCTATCAATCTGCCCTGTGAGGAGGGAGAGAGCCACTGTTCTTGTGCACAGTGCTGAATCGAGATCAGGCTCAGGTAAGTGAAAAGGGGGGGATCCTCATTGCAAATGGTTTTTTTACCTGAAAGTGTTACTAAACCCATGACCCTGCATTCACTATATCTGGTCTCCCACAGTACATAGAACATAGAAATGCAATTATTTTAGTAAATCTAACCCTTTTCTCATCAGCAATTAGAACGGTCTTGTGACTGCTATCAGTGCCCAGCAGAGCACTGGTTAAAGCTTGTAGGAGGAATCCTTTGAGGCTGCAGGACCCCTACCCCTCTGTATGTACAGTGCTGATTGGCCCTGTGCTGATATCATGCACTCTCCCCAGAAAAAAAAACCTCCCTACCAATACACACCAAACTGGGCATGTGCAGCTTGTCCCCAACTACATCAGTATTGCACCATTTTAAATAAAAATGGTGAGTGGGTGGATGCAATTTTGTGGCGCAAATGGTGCTGCAGAAAATGTGCATGTGAGGCCAGCGAGCCTTTAAAATGCCTGAGAAAGGCTGTCATTAGACAGAGCAGATCACTGGAAAAATACACAGAGCCAATCAGAGTGGATCTGTGCCTTGTGATCACCTTAAACAGATCACAATCATCAAAAGTGTAAACAAAAAAAATGTAAACAGCCCTCCCACTGATCACTTCTTCGTTTGTATATAACACTACTGACACTGATCAACAAAAGGGGGGCACACTAACCACGAGGAGGGCACACAGAACAGCAAGTGGCATATTGACCATAAAAGGTGGGCAAGCTGACCGCAAATGAAATGGGGAAAAACACACCACTTTCACCAACAATTATGGAGCACACAGCATTGGGTCATCCATATTTAAGAGGGCACGTACCAGCAACCAC